CTGTGGAATGCTTTTTCCTATGTGATATGTATTAATATTTCAAATAGTGATTCTTATTACACTTTGAAAAACTTTTGTTTAATGAATTTTCCTAAGTAATTTTTTAAAAAAATTGTGTATTTTGTTTGCTTTTAATAAATTTTAAAGTATCTATGATTGTGGATATTCAAGGGCACACAAAATTGTCTTTACAGTGCATAAGATTAGCCTTAGAGACATAATAGGAATTTAAATACCGTGACAGTCATTATTTGTCCTTTGCCCTTCTGTAACACAATTAGTAGCCCTTTTTTTTATAACTTATGGCATATTTCAGCAACATTTAAGTCCAGAAGATATGTCCATTTATACTTATGCTTGCTAAACAGTCAATGCTATCTCACCACTTTGTGAGAATATCCAATCCACCTGAGTAAATTTCTGCCACTATTGCATAAGATACAAATTTCATCTTGAATCACTTCAACATTGGAGATATATATATATATTTTAAAATATACATACTTAAAAATCATGGATTTAACAGAAATAAGAAGACCTACCTGCTTCATGTTACCTTATTTATTATTTAGAATACAAGTGTGTTTATCCATGGGTATTGTTGATGAAGTTGATATGTGAAATCTGTATCTTTTTCTTGGCAAATGGTTCTCAATCTTATATTGAGATCTTTTCCCAATACAAGGTGTCCTACTACCCCTGATATACTGTTTAATATGTTCTTAGAAAATATTGGCTGTCTTTTTGGATTTTTGTGGGGTAGATTGTGAAAAGGACTATTATGAATAATTTATATGTAAACATGCATAAGTGTATTCAATCTTTGATCCAGTATATTTTTGTTTATACTCTATAATCAAAATATCATTCTTTTCTTCTTTGTAGAGCAATGAAGTTGTCTACTACAATGCTAAGGATGACCTTGATGTGAGTATTACAAGTTTTGGATCAAAATCTTAGTTAGAATGATTTGTTTGCACTGCAAACCTCAAAAGGCTCATTTTTAAAGAAAATATTGCATAGCATAAGCAAAATATTAGATAGGCACAACAAAGTAATGATGAATTTTAGTCTTTTCATGATTTTTAAGAGCTTCTTGACCTTTTCCACTATACTCTGGCTATACCTCAATCCAGTTCATTGATTTAAATACTCTGCATTGCATTAGCAGAGTGGAAGATGGACAGAATCCCACCCAGCTCTGGGTCTTGACTCCTGTCACCAGGGTCATCACAGGTCTGTGCTTGAACCTGTACTTCACAGGTTGAACTGCCAACTACAATATGAATAATAACTGAAAGCTGTCTTGGCTACTAGTCCTGCTCATCCAATGTTGGAAACACAGTATTTATGTAATAGGACATTTTTGTGTGTATTCTGGTGATGGAACCCAGGACCTTGCATAAACTAGGCAAATACTCTTCTACAGTGAACAAAACATATGAGTGTAATGAAGTTATCATTTATCATCCCCCTTTTTTATTTAAATGAAGAAAAATTGCTTTATTACCATATAGGATTTTCTTCCAACTACGTAAGGGAAAAGTGAAAAAATATAAAATAAGTAGAGCTGGTGTTCAACAAAATTAAAAAAAAAAGTAGATTGGGCATGGTGAATCATATCTATAATCCTAGCAATTTGGAATTCACAGATTGGGAGAAACACAGTTCAAGGCCACCCTCAGCAAAAATTCAGTGAGACCCCATCTGAAAAATAAACTCAGGCAGTGGTGCTGTATGTCTAACTCTAGCTATGAGGGAGGAGTTGATAGGAAGCTAGTGGTCTCAGGCTAGTCACAGGCAAAAAACCCCATGAAACCCTGTCTAAAAAATAACTAATGTGAAAAAGGTCGAGGGTAGGGGAGGAGGGAGGGCGTGGCTAAAGTACTAGCAATTTGCCAAGCAAGTGTCAGACCCTGAGTTCAAACAGCAGTACCACCAAAAGCTGTAACAAAGCAAAGCAATAAATATGATTCATTGACATGTCAGAGCTGTCCAGGTAATACCACTTCTAGTAATGTTTATAAATACCATAGTTAATTGGGCGGTAAATTTGCCAGCATACTGCTAACAATTTTACATAAATTATCAGTTCCAACAGTGACTATGATTGAATTAAGTTTTATTTTCTCTGTTTCCTAAATGAAGAACTAAGAAAAGATATTTTTTCCCTGTAGACTTAGGTGATTTGCTAGTGGTATCTTTCCTCTAATGAACAGTATAGATGCCATTTTATGATGCAGCAAGTTTTATTAAAGACAGATTGTCAGCTAAAATAAAATGTTTTAATGCTTTATTGATTCATGTCAGTATAAATACTATTTTTGGAGAGATATATACTTTCATCATTAGAATTAGAATTAGACTATTTGCTACTTAAAAATCATACAGCCATTTAAAACACATACAAAAACAACATCAGTCTTCCCGCTAGTACATTACTTACAGCAGTTATTAAACATTTCATTTTCTAAAGTATAACAAAGGCATTAATAGTATTTAATCCTCCAAGTAAGCATTTCCTAGTGATACTAATATAGCAGCTATATATTTTTAAACTAATAAAAGTAATTGTATTTTATGTCAAATAGAACAGTTTTATTTACATCATTAATTAGAAAGCTTTTTTAAATTCACATGGAAATTGGCCATTTTTCTTTGCTCAAGATTCTAACAATCATATGCACAAATGTAAATATAACTTTTTCGTAAGTACAACTCCACCTTCAATTACAATGCTTTAAAGGTAGCACCCATTCCCATTATAAGTGGAAAAACATACACAGGTTGTGTATTTGGAATACTTCAGTTGTACCCAACATTTTCTTACATAGTTTGGTTTTTTTTTTCAATTTACATAATTTTATTAAGTCATTCATGATATACATCAATCAGATTGTCAAAATCATTTTCTTGACTTATTTGATGGCTATCTATCAAATTTAGAAGAGTTGGACAATTCGCTGTCTTCCAGATCCAAAATATTTCAACATATTATGTTGGAAGTATTTTTCATTCCAACATTTAGAGAAATGCTCATTGAAATATTCAATAAAATTTTTCTGTATGAAAAAAAGAATGAATGGGAATGAACCTATAAAACCATACCCCATGTTTTGTATTTTCTCATCCAAAAAAAGTGAATAATACTATTATGAGTTAAAATTATGCTTATGAAAAAAGATCAAAAGTGTGGCTCAGACAGTAGGGGGAGGGACTTCTTGGCAAGTGTGAGGCCCAAAATTCAAATCCTAATCCCATCAAAAACACTACTACCAACAACAAAAAAAAATCCTTATAAACAACAAGAATACCAACTTTTAAATTTTAAGTTAAAAAGTACAGTAAGCATTTGGAGAAAAATTTCCCCATTTCTTTATATAATAATAACAGTGCCAGAATAATTTGCAGACAGGGTGTTAGAGGAAAGAAAAGCAGAATAGGAATCAGAGACTAATCCATGCCCCAGACCAACTCTAAAATTTTAACTGTCCATACCTATAAGGTATTAAAACTTATTAAAATTGAAGGGTTTTTTTTAACCTTAGACATAATATAGTTGAATAGGAAATCCTTCAAATTCATTCCAGTTCTAAATATTACTGGATTCTAGTGAGAATATGTAGCTGAATAAACAGTACACTTGCATACACAAAGGCCACAACCACATAGAATTTAAGAGAAAAGGAAGGAGGAAAAAAAACACATCTAAACTTTCTTACTCTACTACAAACTTATCTTTTTGTCTTTTTGTGCATTTTCAAGCCCTTTTTATCAGCATACATATTTATTTACTTTCATGATTAAACGATCGAGTTATTAAGTAGCATAATTCTTTACCATACTGTGAAACAGTTGTTGAATCATTGTTTTGAGTTGATATAACCCCCATCATGAAAATTTAATTTGCCTTTGTGAATGCTCACATACATAAAACATGTAATGAATTTATTTATATATGAACAAAATTGTCTTCAAAATTTTGACTTTCACTTTAGGATAAATCCCAGAAGTGGTACTATTGGGCAAAAGATTTTGATATTTTAACGCATTTTGATACATAATGCAAAGACATTCACCAAAAGGACCAAATTCCACTGTCACCATCCATTTCCTCAAACAGTGCCTCACATTATATTAAAAGATGATTTAACACATTAAAATAATTTTTCACTGTTTTGATTGCATGCATCTGCCGACATTCACATTTTGCCCTTCACATAAGAAAAACCGTAGTTTTTCCAAAGACTCTTTTTCTTTTCAGTTTTGTGACATTGTGGAAATTTGCTGAACTAATGGAGGCTTAGTTTCCTTACCTGTAAATCTGTATATTAGCATGTATTTCCTAACAATGGCTAAAATAAGATTTTACTCACCTAAACCAGAGATATTTATTTCTTGGCACATGTAAGCACTAAATGAATGTTATAAGCTTTGGCCACATTTATGAGTCTTAATTTTTTAGTAAATACGAGATTTTTATATATAACAAGTAAGACATTACTTATTTGTAATTAAAAGATACTTTAAGCGGGATTTCTACTATTTTAATCTATATGTCACATATTTCTACATGGGATTGAGCTGGACTTACTATCAAAATAAATTGAAATATTTCAGAAAGACACCTTAGAAAACAAAATATGTGTCTGAAAATTTCTGCGAGGTATTTGAGAAAATTTTTTCTTTGATTTTTGTTTTTGAGATAGGGTCTCTACATGTAGCCCAGGCCTGGTCTTGAACTAGAGATACTCCTGCTTCAGCCTCACCAGTCCTAGGATTATAGACATGTGCCCCAACACTTGGCTTAAGTAAATATTTTTCTTGGGTCTAAAAACTTAGTTTCATTTTGCTCTCCCTATTACCCATGGTAATTAAAATATCACAACTGATGATGTGGCTGTCATTGCTTAAGTAAAGCAAGAATGTAATTTGTCAAGTGAAAAAAAAAATGTCTTGGAGGAGTGACATAAGAAAGTAGAAGCATATGTATAGAAGACATTTGACAAAATAACATGGTCGGTAAGTTCTCATGTAAAATCTCTCCCTGAATTGAACTATAAAATGAATGCTGCTAACAGTCTAGTCTTGTGTATTTTGAATGTTTTGTGTAAATTTTTTTGAGAATGTATAAAGAGCTATAAGATGAGACATTTTATACTTCACCATTTTTTTTTTATTTTAGAAACTCAGAGTGCTTCAGATATGATAGTACCAAAACCTTAGACACTGAATAAAATGGAATCACATTGTATTGGCTCATACGTTGGCTTGGTTGCTCTGTGAGACTATAAGTAAAAGTGGCTAAAACGCTAAAGAACTTGATTTTTCTCTGGTGTGTAGCATTGTTGGTACCATGACCACTGTGGCTCCATGGTCTCTGCTCTCCTCTTCTTTGCTTTTACATATTCTGGTCCAAGACTGACACTTGATTGTCCAGGATAGTTTCCCTGCCTCCCTCCCTCCCTATTTTCCTCCCTCCTTCTCTCCTTCCTTCCTTCTTCTCTCTCTCGTTCTCTTTTTCTTTTTCTCCCTTTCTCTGCATTTTAGATAACAGAAAGGAGGTATGTGGCAGTGGAAAATATACCTTTGTCAAAAGGGCAAGTTCTAGAAGTTGCACGCATCACTTCTGTGTGTACCACTGTTTACAGCTTAGTGACCAGCCCTGCTTTGTAGCATGAGCACATAGAGTATTTAATTTCCCCCTAGGGTGGGCATGTCCCAAGTAATATGAGGATGTCTATTACTTTAGAGAAAGGGGAATAGTAGTAATTGGGAGACAATTCTTTCTGCACATATGTTCACTTACTTTTCCTACATATTAAGTAAATTCAACATTCCACCCATGCGTGCTAGTGATTCTAGTTTAGTCATATCCTTTGACAGGAAAAGAAATTCTCTTATGATCAAATTATTTTCTGAGTTTG